TTATAGATGAAAACACATTTACAAAACTTCTTTCAGAATAAAACAATAATCAGGCAGCTAATTAAGCACACTGCAAGTACTGAGCTTTTGAGTTAAAGACCTGTCCAGGCTGTAACATCATTTTCACTTTGTTATTATATGCAGAGAGCTAATAAAAATATAATTTTGAAAAAAAATCACATTAGTGATTTGCTAGAGTGAATGTAGATGTCAAAAACACTAATCTAGAAAAGCTGTCAGGAGTTTAAATAGATTTTTCACTGACTTGCCAGTTCTTAATTATAGCTCAGCACCCTGTAGAGGTTAAAAATGCCAGGTTCCTTCGAAACAAACCATGAGCTCCTTACCATCTCGTCAAATTCTCCTTCTCTTCCTTTCAAATGGATCAATCAGATGCCAACACATAGCATTTTTTCGTGTATGTCTTTTCTTAAGCTTCCTTATCCACTGCAATTATATTTTTACCCAAACCTATCCTGAAGGGGATAGAAGAGATTTCATGGAAGAAGCATAATTGGCAATTGAGCTTGTTCTTTCTTGGGCTTCTTTTATGAGAAAAGATAGCATTTTGTGTTGTAGGAATTCAGTACTTAAATTAGGGGGTATGCTGGCTACTTAGTTAAATAATCGACAATAATCAGGTCAGGAGGGAATAGTACATAGCTTTCACTGTTTTGTATTAATTTTTCAGATAATGTAATTCTACATACTATCCGTGTATTTCAGAAAGCATCAAAAAAAAAAAAAAAGCTGCAAAACAAAGGATTGACAAGTTGCTAATCCAATCCTCTGACTGTCACAGGGTGCCATATAAAAGGGATCCTTTGTTCTTTAAGAGCTGATTGAGTTCCATTAGTATCCATATTCAGAGCCTTGGGCACAATATTAATGCTAATACCGTTGTTACGGAGATGGAAAGCCGTTAAGACTGAACAATAATCAGCTCACAATATCATTGGACATATTCATGCAGCATGTCGCATGGTGAGATCTGATAGCTCTGAACCTTTCTAAAGAGAACACGAAAATCCAATTAACATCTTCTGTGTAAACCTCCTCAGCTACTTTCACTGGAGATGACCTTGGGCAGCTGTGTTGCAATTTTGCCAAAAATCTCCATTATGTCTTTAATTCAGCAGTGTTGTTGGGTTTTGCCAAAACAGAAGGCCTGGCTCCGCAGCCCGCTCCTCACGCTGGGTGATAGCCGTGCACACAAGTTGTTTCAGCAGCCACTGGCATACTCTGTGCCGAGCTGTAGCACAGACGGTCAGCAACCAGGCTTCAGGCTTCACAAATCCAAGGGGATATGCAAGCCAACCAGCAAAAAAATTCATTTTCTCTCCCTCTCCCAGCTTCAGTTAAAAGCCCAACTCTCATATGTGCCCTTCCGTCACATCTCAGCCAGTGTCCCTGACGTGGCTGTTTGTGGCAGATGGCTGGTGCGACCTGGTGAGTCGATAATTAATTCCTGCTGATGAAGCATGTGGTGAGGGGAGGAGAGGCTCCACATGCCCCCCACTCTGGGCTTCCCTCCTGCTGAAGGGGAATAGCAGTCCCACGTCTCACAGACCAGTTCTCTGGACTTAGGGTTGCTCAGCCTATGTTCAAGAGAATATTTTTCTTGCAAACAGTTTCAATTGGACCAAGAAAAACCTCTATGAAGGAAATTTAGCCTGACAGAATAATAAATGAGGCATTTTTCTTTTGGCAGGATATTTACCTGCATTAGTTGCCTAAGGTAGGGTGAGGAAGTAATTACCATGAAAGGACTCATAGAGAAATAATTTATTTTTCAAGTATTTTACTGCAGTGTCCACTTAATTTTTTCATTAAGCCCGAAAGTAAAGACCGGTTTTTATAGCCTGCCCTCCAATCTCTTTTTTTTTTCCACGCAACCTGCAACTAGACTAGCAGGTATTGCTAGTGATGGTGAGCACTTATCCTGGTGGCCACATGGCTCAAGATTCTTCCAGAATAATCTGTAGGAAAATCTGGTCCTAATCATCACGAGTAGGACTCTTAAAGAAGTGAAGACCTTGATGGGAAGAAGAACGCTCATTTCCAGCCTGCACGGACAGCTTCTGGACATAAAGCTTTTCCCTTTTCTGACTATAAATTGCATGCAACCTGAAACTTTTGCTGTGGTTTCTGTCAATATCACAAGTGAAGGATTCCAAAAAATAAAGCATTTTGAACTCTTTCCTTTCATTTCTTTTTCATTATACCAGGACGATACTGCCTTATCTCAAACACACACTTGCATATTTGCACTCTATAATGGAGAAACAGCACTACATACAGGTCCCTAAAAGTAAACACCAAACTCTGCAAATCTTGCATATAATTAGGGAGATTCTTCTGGATTTATTATTTTTTTCCCCAAAGCTGTTATTGCTTGATTTGGCTGTCATCTGTGTCACTTCTATGGAAAGATTTTCTCTGTGTTAGAAGGAGTAAATCAGAACAGCAGGCTAATAACTTGTTACAACAGTGGGTTTTAAGAAAAAAGTAATGAAGCAGAGCTGCTGCCAACATTATGGATATTATACCTCCTCCTTAAATAAAACAGGTCAGGATCACCCTTTGCTTTACAGCGTGTCACTTGGGAAGGACCAGCACAGACCTTACACCTGGTGAACACAAACATCCTTTGAGTACTTGTACCTTTTGCTGGCCAGACACATATGCTTTGAGCCAAATTCTGGCTGCAACTTTAGACTGAAAGGAAAACAGCTTTTCCATAAATATCCAAGACCAACCAAACAAATTCAGTCCCAGCCTTATCCTTTTGATTTAATTTCCTTGGGTATTAATTTTGGCCATTCAATCTCATTGATCTATTGAGTCCATCTCAGCTGTGACCTTGATTTGATTGCTTAATTGGCTTAGCAAAGCCTGGGTGCATTAGCTCTGTAACATGCTTGCTTGATTTCTGTACGTGCTGGCTTATTCTTTCGTATAAAATCTATAAAAAGTAAACAGAACTTATTTTACATAAAATGGCAGTCGAGCTTTGAAATTCAAGGGCAAAGATAATCTGAAGTATATGTATGCCACTTCTCCTAGCATAGGCAGAATAGTTTAATCTTGCCTTGTTCAGATCTAGAGATGTTTGAATATTGACATGTGCCCTTCAGTAAATCTTCCTAGTTTAACAGATCACTCACTGTCCACTAACAGCTTGGCTGAAGCATGAGCTCTAATTTTCTTCAGATGACTGCTGTTCCTGCTGGTAGAAGCAGAGGAAGGAACAGCTGATGGCAATATCTTCTGCAGATACAGCAAAACTTTCTCACATGTTTCACTCAGATTGCTATCATCCTTATGCCCAACTGAACCAAATCTCTGCTGCTGCTGTGATTTTAAGCATGCCAACGCATTGGCATTACTGTGTTTGCTTCATTTGCATTTAAACAATCAAGATTTTTAATTAAAATGCATAAATGAATCATCCACTTAATGCCCTATCTCCTTTGTTATTTATTTTTTATATTAAACCTTCAATTTGATGGATACACACTGCCATTGGTCATTTCTGCTAAAATGATCCTATCAGCAAGTGAAATATTTGACAAATCTGATATTAAATTTTTCATCCCTAGCTTTCAGCACTTGTGGTCCATTAAGATAAATAGTATTTCACACACTTCTGATCTATTCTTTGAAGCATTTTGGGACCAGCACTCTATCAAAGAGGGAGAGGTACAGGTCAAAAGGATGGTTTTGATCCAAACAAAGCTCTCCTTACAGCTTCCTTTATGGCCCATCACATCCACAGAGGTAAGAGTACCCAGTGCTTCTTTGGTGTCCTCCATCTGTGACAGCTATCATTCCTTTCTGTAAAGTGACAGAATTTGGGTAGGATTTGGTACCTACTTGTTGGTGGAACAGAAAATAATGCGGACTTTCTCCTAAGTAAAAGGATTTTTTTTTTTTTTTTTTTAGAAAACAAAACAAAACAAAACTCCGTGACAGTGATAGCTGTAGTCATCGTAAAAGTTCCTACTTCTTCCAGAAATCTCAGCTGGCTATTGAAATTTAACTCCAAGGAAAGTGATTTGTCCCAAGAACTGCATCCTAATATAGAGAATAAAACAGCAAACACACTCTGCTACTCGTTTCTCTCAGAGGATTACTGTAAAACTAAACTAATAACAATGCAGCATTCCTTCAAAAACTGAAATCTTGCTCACATGCTAAGAAGCTGTAAGAGTAACAGCATCATCTGGTGGCTTCTGCCACAAAGAATGGATTAATTGATTTTTTTGCTCTACTTTCATTTAAATTCCTCATCTCTCAGGTGAGGCCAGGTCCTGAAGGAACGTGTGAGAAGAAAAACAAAAAATGATAAAAATGAGTGAAGGTAGTAACTAAATTCCCAGCTATACTGAAACATTAAACTGAGTCTGAATATTTCAGATCTTTTTAAAGGGATTTTAAAAATAATATTGAAAAAAGCACTATCTTCATTGAAGTCAAGCTTAATTTAAAGCAGTGTCAGATGTAGTTGGAGTATTCAAAGCATATGTTAAGAACAGGAATGATGGTGTAAACCTCAACAACATCTTAAGGTAATTCCTTTCCACCACTTCTTTTGTAAGTGCAAAACCAAATCCTTCCATCTTCTCCTGCATCTTCCTTTTGGAATTCATATTATTGATCCTCTTAACATTTAGAGAGGTGGTATGTAAAAATGAGATGTGCATACATTAGTTTGCAAAATATTTCATCTGTGAATGAGTGCTATTATGATTATGATTGTAGAACAGGCTAATCCACCAAAGCTTACACATATTGTTAGTATAGCACTAGAGGCTAAATCAGCCTGCTTTAGGTATTAAACCTCCCTGACCTAAATGGGCTGATGTATTTCCAGAAGTATCCAAGGTCTCCAGAAAGAACTTCAGTGCAATCCAGATGAAGCAGAAGGGCCACACAAGACTACAGAACCAGGTCTTCAGGATTAGTTGTTGCAAAAGCTTATTAACAAGGCAGTAAAGTGAAAATTATTCCTTCTGGCTTTATTGGTGCACAACGTCTGTTTTACATTCATACAGTTTCTGTCCTATCCTTGGCAGTTGTCTTCTTTGTTGTATTCTTACAAAGAGAGAAATATCAAAACATTAATTTAAGCTGTCACAATGCAAAGGGCTGACAGTCATATAAAGAATTATCATTGTGGCAGAGAATGGAGACAAGTTAGTGAAGGAAAATTAAAGTGACTAGCTAAACAGAACCGAACTTCTTGAAAAATCTAGGATATTGCCATGACAATTAGAATTGCTCCAACTTCTTCTTTTTGTGTTCTTCAGCACTTTCCTACATAGTCTATTGTCAATCTGATGGGGTAAAGAAAGAAAAAGAAATCACTTTATATATAAGCTAGTTTTAGGAAATATGTATTTCAAAAGAGAAGATTCATCCTGTACAAATTTATGCAATAAGATAAATTGCAATGAACATCAATCTTTGTAATTTTCCATAATTGTAGAAGTCAGACTGACCAAGATTACAGCCTGTCTAATCCTTTTTACTAATGCATACAGGAAAGAAATGTTTCTTTGTCATCTTTTTTTTTTTTTGAAAACAAAAATGATTCTTTTCTAGCAAACAATAAGATTCCTGCAGGTGGTGGGTCAGGGTCTCAAAGTGCTTTGTGCATTCCTAAGAATCATTTTAATTATTTTACACATAAGGTAAGAAAGAGAGTGGTTAAAAAAAAAGAAAATAAATACTTCACTTTTGGGTTATGCTTTTCAACAACAGCTTTTGGAATGTTTTATTATGGCTCTGAAAAAGTGAGTGCACAGGAGTCTCAAGGTGTACACCCAGCAAGTAGACCACTGCAGTCCACGTAGTTTGCTTTCCCCAGTAAAGTAAAGTGACAGATTCTTTGTCATAAATCAAGTTTTCAGTAGGGTACTCAATGTCTAGTCTTGTGCTCTATCATCTCATCACATGCTACCCTGGTAAGGGGGAGATGTTATGAATTCAGTGCAAGGAACTAGTGAAACTCTGCATCTTGTGTACCACACAAATATCCACTGCCTTCTGGCTATAGTATCTGCAGTGCTAATGATGCCAGTTTGCATTGCAGTGACTAACTGATCAGATTACTAATGAAGCATGAGTCCACGAGACTGCTTTATAAAGTCAAAATTTATAATTAATTCTCATACACACAAGCAATCATTGAGTTAGTTCAGCTAGCACATCAAAAACAGCTGAAAACACCAAAGGCTGAACAAATCAGTCTTCCCAAAGTAGATGAACAAGAGGTTTACATGACTAATGCCAACAGGACAGAGGCACAAAACTCCCTGTGGATGTAAGGACATAAGATCCTTTCCACATGTTCATCATCCTTATGTGCCTTTAAGCGCTGTAATCCTGGAATTAGAAAAGCAGATTGTTTAGGAACACCGCAGTAGGTAGCCTTGAGGTTGTGTGCATATTCATTAGCAGTAGGCACTCAACAAAATAAATGCCAAGACGAACCTGCTACTATTGCCAGCCAGAGCCGTCTGGCCAAGGCCTGGTGTGTCCTAAGAAAAGTCACACGGTCAGATCCAATGCACTTTGAAGTCACACCTAAAGCATCAGATGTATGTTATGACTTGTGAAAATAACAAAACAAAAAAAAGTTTTAAAATGTATTAAATGTAAATTGCTGCAGCCACACCAAATGCAGCAACAGTCCCCTAATTGTATCAATTATTTTTTATGATTGTGATCTCGAAGATGTTATATTTTTTTAAGATGTATTTGCAAATCACTTTGATTACTGTCTGTGAATAGTGTGAATGTGTTTAAGAGCTTCTGCATATTCGCTTTGGCCTTCTGACCCTCTTTGCAGTGTCTTGAATCAGTTGGCAGAACATTAGGCAGTTTAGACACTCCTACTTGAAGCATTCAGAATATCTTGGAATTATTGGGGCTACTCAAATGGAAAGAGTCTTTGTGTAAGCTGTCCTTTTGCTGATCTGATGGCTACTGTGACTGACTTTGCTTTTCACATCTCTCTCTCTATTTCATTTTTAAAAATCAGATATGCTTTACTGTGAGGAGGAATTTGACCACTTACTATTGTATTCTCAGAAATAAGCCTACTAGACCAAGCATTCAAGGTAATTTCATTTTTGCAATAGGAGCTATAATTGAGGAATCGTATTTTCAATGTAAGACACTATCTAAAACGAGTCCCTGGTATGAACCCTGGTCAACTATATACAATCCTCTTTAATATGGCCTTTTATAGTATTCATTTAGCACTCTAGTGCAAAGCTTCAGAAAGGGCACTGAATGAAATAGTTTCCAAAGAACCGGAATAGTAACAGAAGTTTCCTCCTCTGAATTAACAACAATCTTAAAATCTCAACTGCAATTGCTTTGAAATAGCACATTAATCCACAATGAAAATGTTTGCATAGCACTTAAAAAAAAATACAAACAAGATTAACAAAGAACTTTCCAAGGACAAGATATATTTGAATCAAGTTTAAGACCGAAAGGAAAGTTCAGTGCCTTAACTATTTTTTAAGAGCTTTAGAGAGAGAAGTTATAACTAGCTGAGGGGAAAAAAAAAAAGTCTCACCCTCTCCTCAGCCCCAAGCCCCAATTTGTATATCACGTATGTTAATAACCATATACCACCAGTGTAAATGTAAATCTAATTACTGATTGGTGTAGCATATTTTGCAATAGGTCGGTAACTGCACTACCCCTATTTGCTCTTTCCAGCCACTCCTGTAAGGAAGCCTGAGTCTGAAAGAGCCTCCAGTGCCCCAGAGCTCTTTTGTCCTCACACCAAAATTGTTTGGACTGTGAGCATATACTTCTGAATTTTTTTAGTTATGCAGCACTACAGCCCATAAAGGGAATCACTTACCTCAACACCTAAGCAATCTTCCAATCTGCCAAAGGAAAGAGAGGTACTTTCAGAGCAGGAAACCATTCCTCTTATCACATACCCCTGTTTTATGACAGGATGAACCAACTCCTCTCTCTACTGACTGCATGAGAACATTAAGCAACAAGTTTGAATTAGATGATCAAGCTTCAGAAGGCTAAAATTAGATGACGGGAATCCAACATAAAACATTTTTGAGCTTGATCCTCAGATAATCTGCATACACCTTGACCATTTCCTTTAAAGGACAAATATACTGGCTTCTCCCTGCAAAAGTTTTAGCCTTTGAAACACACACAGCATTCCAGATGCAGAAAGCGATGAAAGAAAATCTGTAGGACAGAAGACAGAAGAGTCTGGCCAAAAGAGAAGTAACAACTGCCATGACTGTACCCTCATGAGGATGCTAATCCCACCTGGAGAGTGTGTTGCTTCTTGAGGCTTTTCACCATTTCTTACCCAGTCCCAGTCTCTCTCTGCCTTCACTTCTGCAGCCAGTCAGGACTGGTGGCCACGCTGCTGAATGCCAGATGAAGTCTTCCAGCCCTCTCTGTCCTGTTCCTCACTTCTTAACTTCCACATCTCTGCACCTGCACTGGGGATCTCTGTTTCTTAAAGTGATTTTAGAATGAGATGAACAGGGATTGTTTGAGGAGCAAAGACAAAAACCTCTGCTAAGCCTTAAAACTTGATTTTAGTAGACTTACTGAGTGCTCTGGGGGTGAATATGCTCATATGTAGTTACCTCTGCAGTAAAAAAGTGCAGCAAAAGATGATTAAACACATGAGGAAAGAGGCTTCCATCTAAAAGGTGATTAAAAAGACTAGCATTGTTTAGTTTGCAAAACACAAGAGTGAAAGATGATATAACAGAAGCAGAGAGATGAGGCTATTTATTCTGTTTTCTCTCAAGAGCAAATATGCATGGAAAGGTGAAGGAAAAATTCTGCAAACATTTGTGCAGTTTATAAACAACTCTGCAACTCTCTGCTGCAGACTATTAGGCAAAATTTTCAGAAATATTTCTAAATGAATTAGATGTTACAAACAATAAGACTCAGTTACTTAGGCTAAGGAAAAGCAAATACAAACAATCGCCCCAAACCCCAAGGATGGTTAGTCCTTGTCCTTGTGATTAGATTAGTTAGAAATGGAATTTTTCTCTCCAGAGGGATGGTATTATTTATTTATCAAGTGTATGATATGGGAGTGCTCTTCCTTCAAGCAGGAGGTTCAGTAGCAGGCAATTAAAAGAGTCAGTAAATGCATCTCTGTGAAGTCACTGCCAACAGATTTCTTCCAGAATGCATAAACCTAGTAATGGTCAAGTGGCTCAAGTTTAGTTATTTTGATCTCAGCTGGTTATTTTCCCCAATGAACTTCAACTACAGCTAGGTAACAGTCAAGGCTGACTATGAATGAATGGAATTAAATATATTCATGTCCTTGGAAAGTTCTTCACTAGTCCTGCTTGTTTCTATGTACTTGTAAATGCTACGTAAACATTTTCATTGTGGCTATAACCTAATTTGAGTGTAAAAGAGAAACTCTTGTACCTCCAGTATTACTCCAAGTTACCAGTGAGTGGAGTCTGGATTTTAATGGTCCCCTTCACAAGAACCAGCGCTGAAAGTAGCCTCAGAGGGAGTGGATCGGGGTGCTGAGGTGACATGGCAGTCCTGTGCCGTGCTGCTGGTGCTGTGGGAGGCTGCACACCTCACAGCCTGTGAGTCTTCCGCTTGTGCTGTCGGAGCTGGAATATGCTGGAAGATGCTGCTGCGGAGTTAGTCCCTGCTTACACTGTAGATGTGTATGGAGAACAAACCGTCTTTTTAAAAGAATTTTAAATGCTACTTTTGGCTTCTGAATAGTTTTCTTGCAACTGTCAGGCCATCTGCTTGGAGAGGGGTCTGTGGAGTCATGAAAAGGATCTTAAAATATACTCTCCTCATAAACATCTTTTGTTTGGAAAATCCACATGCATCACATAATGCAGTAAATGGCAGCACAGGCTGAACTGAAACATTTTTAAATGCCGAGGATGCAACCTTGGATACAGCTCCCCCCGCCCCCCGCCTCCCCTCTATTAATAAGCCCGCTTTAAATGCACACTTAGACACACTCTCTTACAGACTCAGATTGGCAGCACCCACCTGCTGGGAAACATGCTAAGATAACTTCCTTGGGTACATCCAAAATACCAAACTGGGTTGTGGGCAAAAAAGAAACAGGCTTCTGCAAAGCAGCTCTTTCAGAGATTACATCATACTGCCAGCCAATTTTCTGCCTACACTGCACCATTTTGTGTGATGTGTATGTGAAAAAAATAGCATACGTCTGTGTGTATACAAGCAAAAAGGCCAAATGAAAGGTGTGCAAGAACATGTAATTCTAGCATTTCCTAACTTCTGGGAGATTAGCTTTTCAGTACTGCTTGGTACTTGAATATATATGATACATACACATGCACATAAACATTTATTTTGTTGGCATGCTTAGAATATAAAACTATAGAACAGTGTTGCATCTTCCTAATTTTTTTTTCCTATTTGTTTGTATCATTCTTTGGTCATTTTTGTTTACCTGCTTTTTGTTATTCTGATGTAAGTGCAAATATACAAATTGTTAATTTTTTTTTTTTTTACATATAAATGGAATAAAAGTTTCTGGCTTTTTTTTTTTTTTTTATAAACAAATTTCAGCAGGAATGTTGATGGTATGCTGTATAACAAGTAAAGAAGAAATACTGTTTAATTATCTTCCATATAAAATCCAATAAAACGTTCTGGCTTTTCTTATTTTTCTGTACTGGGGATTAACATCAGCGTCTTTGTGATGAGAAATCTGCATTCATGGCTCCTCTATTTAGATTTAAATAGGAATTATAGTTCTTGGCAGAAAGGGATCTGTCAAATATCACAGCATTTGTGGCAGGTGGTCACTGCATTGCTTAGTACAGACACTGCCTGCTTAACCATAGCCTGAAGTAAACATCAAAAGTCAATTATTCTCTTTGTAAATATTTTATTTATATTTTGGAGGCTAACGAACATCTTTTCAGTGCTTGGCTAAGACCTTCCTCCATGGATCAAAATCCTACTGAACCTGCATATGGTGGTTAAAAATGTGTTTAGCAATTCAGGGATGCCGATGTAGCTACCAGCGTCTATTAGGCTTCATAACACAATCCTCTGCTTGGAAACCTTTAATGACTTGGCTGGGTTGAACTGGACAGAGTTAAAACTTGTCATGGTTGTTATCATTGCAGCTGCCAATTAGTACGACAGTCATGTATTATTTTGCCAAAATCCCTTTCCCCAGTTAAACTGTATTTTGAATATAAATACTGCAAAAGAAAAGAAAAGTGTCTATTTCCTTTGATTTAATGTTTTGGGGGTGGGAAAGCAGAAGGTCTGGTTTACTAGAGAGATGAATGCATGTATAGCAGCCCTACGGAGGTAACTTGAATGCACACTGAGTAGAAAATGTGGAACAAGAGCTGAGCTCTGAGGGTCAAATGCCTTGGAGAAGTTTCTTGTTCCAGGGTAAATAAAATGACAGTATCTGGCAACAATTATGCATAAATGCCAGAATCTGTCCCAAAACCACTACCGTGGGAAAATATCTAAAGATGCTGCAGCACATTTTAGATCCTTAACTGAGTCCTATCTGAACTCTTTGGGCCATTAACTAATCAAATCATCTCACGTAAACAATGTTATAAAAATAAACAAGTACTTCTGCCTCCATAAATATATATTGAATATATTCACCTTAAAGAACTGGGATTTTCTTGAGTATTTACTTCTGATATTCAGGAAGCTGAAGGAGTACAAAATGCTAAGGAGAAGCAGAATTCTCTGAGATGGGGCTGTGGGTAATTTTCCCCGCAAGCCTATTTGGTGGTAAGTTAATTGACTCCCACATTACTGAAACTGCAATGTACTAAAGCACTGGGTGCTCGTTTTCATTCGCTATTTGACTGGCAAAGGCCATCTGTTCTACCCCATCCATCCACATGCACAGTGTCTATTGTTGTCAACAGGATTCACACACACGTGGATCAAGGCAAGCTTGTGCATCAAACTGTTTTGATCTCTAGAACATGGATTTTTCATTTTCTTTGTTTCTTTGTGTTCGGCCAGTAATAATACTTGTCATTTGAGAATTCATATTGATCTTGTCATTGCCTTAAAATTGGATGACAATTACTATCTTTGTCAAAATTCGATCTGATGAAATGGCTCCAATTAGGAAGGAAAAAGAAGGAATCCATCACAGCAGGGAGGAGTGCATTTGGCTTTAAAGTAGGGAAGCTTCTTTTAAAGGGGTACTGCTGGAACAATCAAAAGGGAAGAAATATAACAGAGATCAGGATATAAGCCTCAAAATCTTCAGAAATTTAGTGTGTATATGAAACGAGTAGGCACGTAATTTTTACAGTCCATACCTGTGCGCAAAATTGAGTTGGAGCTCCTCTGACAATAGATGCCAGTAACCAGTTGTTTTCATTTTCTGATCTGGTCAGACAGTGGCAGTTGACGTCAGTCTTCATGAATTTTCAAATCCAGTTCTGATCATCAGTATTATTATAATACATTATCAGGAGCAGATTTGCTGAAGTTCATGAAATGATAACAGCATAAATTGCATCATGGTTCCAGATACTGATCTCACCTTGAAACTAAATGTAAAAAGGCAGTATAAGAAGAAAAAAAGAAGTACACTTCCATTGCTACTAGCATTGGCATTAAAGCAAGCAACTTATTCCTGCTAATTGTAAATAAAATTGTGCTTATTACAGATTATTATTGTTTTTTATAAATAAGCCCTAAAAATGAGTGTCATGTGTACATGTATGGGTGGGGAAAACTTTTTCTAAAACAAATACCTTTGTTTCATGTTGTTATTATTATTATTATTATTATTATTATTATTATTATTATTATTATTATTATTTTCAATACAAAAGCTGTTTGTGATCTTCCATGGGCTAGAATCACTGCTGGTCTGTAATTCTGGTGAGCCCTTACCAGGGGGCTGTGAGATACATGCTTGTGTTTGGCTCTCCCTGAAGGACCAAAGTCTCCACCCACACTGGAGAATGATCTCAGCTCAAGGACATTTTTGTGCAGGTTACTCTGAACTGGGCCAGTAAATACCATTTTAAATAAAAGTGTGGCATGAACTGGACTCTTAGAGTAGTAGAGTTATGTGAGCTCCTGTACACAAGCCTACACACCTTACCTCCCATAAAAATCACATTTTCTTAACTACATGGAAGAGCTTCACAAGAGATTGAGGGAGCCCAAACAAGCACACCACTCTTTTAGCAGGTGGTTGCTGTACAAACTAAAAATGTAGGACAAATATGATGCAGATATGAGTCACCATGTCTTGTACAGCAGCAGGCCCCTTGTTAAAAGAAGCTGAGTGAGCTAGCACTAACAGGTCTTCCTCCAGCAAGCAAGGTGGACGTAATTCCTCTTTCCCCAAATCTTTCTGCCCCTCTCTGTTTTCATTAGCTAAACCAATTTACTGACTCTGACCTACATTTGCACTAGTTCCAGGATGCAACAGACTGTGTTTCTGGGGAATTTGCTATTTGCTAAAAATTTTAATCCAACCCATTTGAAAATGCTGTATGCTAACTGAGCAAATAAGGCAATCAGAAAACTATACAAAACCCATGCAATTGTCCCAGGACTTGTTTGCAACACACTGCTATTAATGAGCATCTGGGATGAGCATGGTATCTTGCACTATGGATCTCATGATCTGTACAATAATGGCTGATTTTAATTGACTTTTGCTGCATATAGCTAATCCCAATTGGAGAAGTTCCAGGATACTGCTAGTGAAGAACTGTGGGTGGGTGCATGTTTTGAAGTGATGGTAAACATTGTGACATATACTGTGTGTACCACATATTCTCATATGCACATTTTGACTTTTGTTGCCTTAGCTTTCACACAGCATTTCTAACATAGACATTCCTATTTGCCAGTTTAAGTGGAAATCTGTTAATATGTGAATACTGCTCGCCAGCATGTACAACCATCACTGGACTTTCAGAACTTATCTTCTCCATGAAACAGCCATCTTGCATGCTCAAGGGTGCTCCACAGGACTATGGTATCTGTGCAAGCAAGACCGGCAGAACTGGGCAAACGAGGAGTGATGAGAGCTGCTATGAAAAACTGTAACTCCGAGACTTGCAACTCAGCTCATTATCATACACCAGTTTCCAATGTAAGAAAATATCACCAGGAAGGCCATGCTCTTTTACTGCCACAAATTCTTTTTTCCTTTCAAGAGATGCTGGTAACTAATGACAAGTTTGGTAAAGACACTTAAAGTGCTATGGATATTAAAATACCTTCAAAGGTCTGGGAGAAGGAGCCAGAGTACCTGAATGAAGTACTTTAATGACTGGCCAGCCCCTCCGCTTGAACTGCAACTCATCCTGAATCCACAATGACTTTTTGGGAACCTGGACTAGGCCAAGACTTACATATATTTTCAAATCTGATGCATTAAGAAGTCCCCTGCTATGCATCTCATTCTACTTAGCTGCAATATTGTGTGGCCAATATTATACAAACAATTTGATTTTAGGCTCTTTCTAGAAAAACATTTGCATCCCACACAGCATAAATGCAAGGGATTTATAGAAAATTAAGCTGTGTGCATCCTCTCCCTAGCAATAAGGTGCCCAGAGCACAGGGAGGGTCCTCTGCTGCTGCCCACGCCACTGCCCATGCCTCCTGCAGACATAGCCAGAGAGCCCCTGATCCCATTGCAGCAGCTCCTCCACTCAACCAGAAAAAAATAAAATAAAAAATAATATATATATAACAACATTTTTCCTCGCTAACTGCAGCATTACCACTTCTCACAGAGACCACCCAGTTGCAGACAACTGTTAGACAAGATTCATGCAAGAGAAATTAGTATGTGAGTGCAGAATGAGGAAAGCAGTGCCAGTGCAAAAGTAGCTACTGAACACAATGAAATAAATGCTGGTGAATGAGTGTTTCTGTAAGGTTATACTTCCATCACATCCAATTCGAATGTTATCCAGCAAACTGCCTTGCCAGGAGCCTTCTTTGTATTGCAGGAAGCCATCTGTGATGGTAACTAAAATGGGAACAGAACAAGATTGGCTATGAAATACTCGTCAGAGTACTCCCCTCAAGTGTGTGCTCTGTTGTTCCTATGTTGCCAGAAGCAATCTGTCTCCAAAGGTGAGGAAGGCATTATCACTATGAGCCCCAGAACTATCCCAAATGGATATCGTGCCTTTCACCTATGGCCTGTCACTGGGAGTCCATAAAATCTCCACTCTTTTAACCATAATTTGTCCTTGGCTAGGACCATTAATTGCTATGGAGATGGTGGGTGGGACAATGCATCATTTTGAACAAGTTATCTAAAACCTCAGTTTCAGTCTTTTTAACATATCTTCTGGCAGAAAGTACTGATTGTTTTCATTGATCTCTGCTACTTCTGGTTTAATTTTTCTTTCTCTATCTCTGAGTCCCTATCTTATGTCTCTTTCCTTGCCAAACTATTCATTTGTTGCTGGATAATCATGGGTTTGTGTTTCAGATAGCTTCCTATTTTGTTCATGTTTCCGTTCTATTGTCCACATATTTTTCCTCTGCAAATTTTGCTGTATTGTGCAGTGGCAAGTGGCTATCAGCTAATGCCAATATTTCTCCTTGAGAATACTTTTTCCTTGCATCATCAAGGGTTTAAGTGGAAAGCCTTCAGCACAGTGCAAATTTCACTCCTGAGAATATCCATCTTTTGAGGTAGCTGATTTTAATTAAAGAATACTCTCTCTCCCCCCTCTCTCTGGATTATACTTTAATTTCAGACTCTATCACAACCGTAGATACTTCTTAGATAAAATGTATTTTTGTCTCTTTTCATCCATGATTATCTGTAGTTTTTAAACACTTGGGGTCAGCAGCTGGTCCCCAGTTGATGTAGTTCAGAAACAATTCTATTCAAAGGAATTAGTTCAGAATAAAATTGGTGTTAAGTTCAAAATAAGGCAAAATGTTCATAATATTTTGCCCTTACATACCTGAGTGAAACTCTCAGAAATATCAGTAATAACAGTTGTGATAATAAACAATAATCTCTGCAATCTATGGCACCTTTCACCTAAGTATTTTAGACATAAATGCATTAAGCTGCTGTCATATGAAGAAATGTCATTATCCTAATTTTACACAAGGGAAAAAAATAGGTGGCGGGAAGTTAAGAAAGCAGTTGAAAGTCATATAACAAGAACTGAACCTACATCTCCTCATCTTCTGTTTCTAATCCCTTAAACACAGGGAGGCTCTGTTCCCAAGGGACATAAAACTGAGGTTTTGAGAGTTAAGGGTTACAAAGGAATCAACAACATTCAAACACAAGTACAGTTTGGGCTCCTGCCTCCATCATCTTGCCAAATTATGACTGAAATAATATTGGTATCATATCTGAAATTGTTTATGCATGATTAATTTGCATAGTTAAACCACTTCCAGACTTCTCACATAAGTGGTGGAAATACAGTCCTAGGCAGAGAAAGTATAGTGACAGGTTTTATGTTTTAATGCTGGAAAGGAATCGAGTGAAACCCTGCCGCTTTTGAAGCCAAAGGCAAAACTTACTCTGATAAAACAATGATTCTGGCCAGGATGCCTAAGGCTGTGAGGACCCTCCTGCAACTAATGTGCATTTCCTCATATAAAACGGTAGTATATTGGTGTATATATGTTTGACAGAGGTACAGCTGCATATATACCCACACAGAACTTGTGGGATGAGATCAAGCTGGCAAGCTTTCTGTGTACTGAGTGCAAATGATTGCACCAGTCATTTTAAACTGTTCTTTTTTTTTCTTTCTTTGTCTGCTTTTATTTTACTTGTTTGTTTGTTTGTTTATTTTAATGCCCACTCCAGCCTATACACAAGATAGATGTGCGTTTTTGCTTGGTCATGTATTTTTGATCTAAAGAGAAACGCAGAAAAAAATATGTATGAACAATAAGTGTAGAACTAAACTGTGCTTTGGCAAAGTGCTTTAAACTGCCTTTCTGCCAGTAATCCATTAATTTGTGCTTCTTTGTTTTCTCCAAGCTCAGAATAATTCCCATCTGCCTTGACTCACTATCTAGCACATAAAGGAAGAGGTCTCTTTTCTGAGCATGGATGAAATAGGAAACTTTTTGTATTAATGAAGAATGGGGACTTGGAATTCTGGGGTTTCTACAACTGGGACCTAAAATAACTTGAGGTCCTGCTATTTTAATTAACTTCATTATGACGAGACTGGCTCTTTTTTTCGTGTATATTTTTCCAGCTTTTGTGTTCCTGGCCTGCCTGTAATACATATGTATTCCCCTTCTTCCCTCTCACTGAAGCTGAAGATGCAATCACATCTTTGAACCATCTGTTTTTTAATTTATTATTTTCCCCCATTGCATTGATGGGTTTTCTCATTTTTCTGTCAGGCTAACAGTTTGGCTCCTGTTTATCTAAGATATGTTAACATGCTGTTCCTCTTCTGGGCACTCAGTCAGCCTATTGTATTTTCTGAAATTAAACACCAGGGATTTTTGAACGTTATTTTCTTCGTCAGTCCAGGGAATGTCCTCTACCTTTACATCCTCTCTTCCTCCTTTTGTTGTTCCAGTGTACATTTTACGACTCTTGTTAAATTTAGGATAGTATCTTATTTTCCTGTCCTCTCCAGGTCATTCTCAAGATGAGAATGGTCAGAGACTGCCTGGAAAAGCTCTTACACCTGGTGAGTAAACTATGCATGTGAGGCCAGGGCCAGGCCAGGATTCCCCAGAGGAGGCAGAGGGTTATCTCAGAGCTCCCCACAGAGCTCACAGAGCCCCCTGAGGGCAGGACATGAGGTGGCAGGAGCCCATGACAAGCACAGTTTGGTGCTTGGCCTGTTGCTGTTGAACATTTCTTTTCTTCAGCTTGGGAAATACCTTCCAGGTGTTGCTCAAGCACCCACCAAATGATCAGACACAAGTGCCTTGCATTGCATTTGCTGCCCGCAGCCAGCTGCAGTCACAGCTGGGCTAGGCTGTACTGAGAAGGGCAGGGTAATGCTGAGCCATAGCAGGGAGCTGTATATCCCCGAGGTGGCAAGAAAGTTCCAGGTAATCACAGTATAGAGCATAATGTGGATTTATATTTGTTACCATACCTTTCTATAGTATATCCCAAGAGTGTTCTGAGGCATTCCATTCTTTAATAAGCAGAAAGTGCTCTGAGATTTTTCTAATGAAAATGATATAGGAGCACACAGTGTTATTATTAAAACCTCTTCCTTTTTCTCTAGGAACTGCTAAAATACATTTACAGTTTATATCCTTTTTGGTGAGCATTAAACTTTCTAATTTAAAATAATAAAACCCAGTTTGCTCCCTTTCTTTTTCTTCCATTTCAAAAACTATAAAAAAACTGTCAGTTTTTTAACTATTCTTATTTTGCTGAGTGATTTTTGGATTTCAATAAAAGTAACATTGTGGTTACAACACTTTGTGAGATAAGCAAAGAGATGTTTTTTTTTTTTTTTTTTTTTACAGCACAATTATGGAAATTTCAAAGAACCTTATAAATATCCTGCTATTTGCATATATGAGATAAGCATATTTCAGTAATGGTTATGACAGGCTAGCAAGGAAAATGTGTGGGACAGCTATACAGCAAATACATGCAAACAGACACAGAGAGGGTGTGTGTGCGTGCACTTCTCCAGAGAAGACCCTGCTTGCTTGGTGGGCACAGGATCCCTGGGAATGCCTGGGCCTGCCGATGGAGAGGGATTACCCCTATGCTATGACTCAGTTTCCCCACATGCAGATGCAAGATTAGCAGTATTTTTCTAATGCAACAAAGCATTTTGCTAGGTCCAGATGGTGTGCACTAGGCTCAGGCTGCTGCCCCATGTGCTCTGCCTGCCTGCAGTCCTCATGTCTTGTAGTTGTAGAAGTACAGAGCCCCTCCAATGCACATCAAAACTGCCAGGGCCTAGGTGCAGTCTACCCAGTTGCACAGCAGGCTGACTGACACTTCTGGCTGCAAAAAAATTTAACACTATCCTAAGTGCTCATGAAAGACCCATAGGGCAGCTAAGGCTGGTGTGGTCTTGAGTACAGGCCCAAGCATCCACTCAAAATGCTATGGGAACATAGCCATAACTGCCTCAAGTTTTCAAGGGCCTTTCTGAACTGATCTCTGCGTGCTTTTATTCTTTTGTTTCCCTTTGTATTTTAAAGTTGGGAATTGCTCTTCTGGTTATGCTTGAGAGCTGCTAGGAAGCTCAGAGAATTAGTGTGGCAATTTCCTCAGTCCTTTGTTGAAAAGGAAGAGTCCACAAAAATGCACTACCATTTTAGCTGCAAAAGAGCGTAAATAGCTATCAAACACAGAGATGATTTAACTAAAAAAACTGCAAACAAACAACCCCCTCTACACACACTTTTCTGTCCCCATTAGAACTGCAGGTTTCCATTCTGTGGATCTCCCAGCCATCTGCTTGGCCCTTGAAAGAGTCCTTGAGAAACCGAAAAATGAAAACCACTTACTTTCTGAAAACTAATCTTGGCTTCCTGGTGCCTTGCTTTCAGGGGAGTTCCACTTGAGGCTTGATTTCTGTAAGTGCAGATACTCAGTATGTCCTGAACAATTAGATGCCTTTGAGGATGTTGAAAGCTAGACATAAAAAACAAATCAATCAGGAGTTTTGTTTGACAACTGACACTATTTCTAATGGAAAAAAAAAACAATGACCCACCAACCAACACCTCCCCATTCCCCAAACAACAACAACAAAAATTAAAACAAACAAACAAAACTGCCACAACTGAAAATCCAGGAAGTTCAACCCTTTGATTTTCATGTTTTAAAACCTACAGAGGTACAAATCTTTTTTTTTTTTCCCTGCTGAGGCAGATAACCTTTACCAGAAGCTGAAGTCCCCTGGCATTTGCAGCATGGCTAGGGGCCCTCAGAGAGGTGCTTGGGGCTTGCTGATGGATTTCCTCAGGGCACTGATGTCTACAAATGCTCCTTTCTTGTCACAAATGGCTAAGAGATGGGGTGACAACCCCTGAAGCCCCTCAGGAACCCATCAACACAGCCTCTGGGTAGAATATGAGTGTGGGCATGAGGCATCTGATGACAGTGACCAGCACTGCGAGCTGCTCAAACTGCTGGGAATTATGTTGTAATTTTTTTCCTAGGCTCTCACAGAAAGCTGTACTTTCTCTAATGGAGACAGTTAGGATTACAAGCAATCACTGCCTTCCAAGCAGTTGATATTCAGACAAAAAAAAAAAAGAAGAGCAAGGGAAGGTGAAGTTTTGTCTTGTCAGCTAATGATCCTTGACTCTCTTGCTTTGTGTTTTTGGTAGCAACCACAGAGAGGTCACACATGAAACTGTGGCAGTGTGAGGTGTCTTTATTAAATATATCAATGGAGTTTATTAAACGGAATATGTGGCACTGGGTAGTGTAAGCCACTGTTGGACGGGCTTGGGGTCATGCAGGCCTCCTGCCCTGATGTCACCGTCTGCTGGATTAATACCATGAGCTCACAGCATGGGCCTGATTAGAAGGTCGGGTCCTGGTTGGTTTTACCTCAGCCCTCTGCTAAGCCTTTGTTTGTAACGTGAGCAACATACTTTTCAGCTCATCACCAAGGCTCCATGCTCAGAGCCAAGACAGATCACTTAGGTCTTTTACCACCTCTGGCAGAAACAGGTTTTAAAATCCCCACCCTGCAAGAGGAGGGCGCAGAGGTGGACTCATTATCTCCGGTTGTCCAGCTGATCGTTTGGACTTTAGACAAGCCTTCCTTTTTGAAAACTTTTGCTTTTTTTTTTTATTATTTATATATATATATATTTCCCCTTTTATTCTCATTTTCAACCTGCAACAGGAGGGCAAAACAGAAAAGGTTGCTGAAAACTTTTTTAGCTTGCTTTTTCTCAGGGGATTCTAGTTCATGGAAGAAGAAACTAGGCTCTCTAACAGGAAAAAGTCATGAGTTAGAGACCCTCTACCACAATGAGGCAATTTTCCTATTTGAAGCCAATGGATTATTTGCACAGGCTGGGAAGAGCCAGAGATGGAAAAAGCAGAGAGACAGAGAGACATTCAGGCTGCACTGAGGGATGAGGGAGTATTTCATATAACCCAGAGAAAGGCAGATGGGAGGAAGGGATTTGGTGTGATGGTGATCACTGCATGATTAGAGGTGACAAGAACAATAGTGCATGTCTACACCACTTGTTAGCTGAATGCTGGCCTCCTAGGAAAGAGGAATATATCCAGCATGGAGATGGATGTGCCTATCTCGGGCAGTTTTCCTGATGCTCTGCTCCTTCCTGTTCTGGCCTTTATTCTGCAAAATGCAGGAAAGAGCATGCTGCATGCATACCCTGCCATGACTGAGCAGGCAGAACAGAAACTGCCTAACACTGTTCAACTGTATTCCCAATTTTGGGAACATTTATGCCTGATATAATAGTTAGAAAAGCTATTCTTACACACCACGGTAAATCAATGTTTCTATGTTGATCTGGATCTGGTGACTGGATAACACTTCTTTATGTGATCCTGCAAATTTAATACAACTCTTCATATGGATTATTTTTTTCTCCTCTCCAAACCTTTGACTGGCATTGACAACACTTCCTCATATTGTCTGAACTTACTGGAACTAGTAAACAGCAGGAATTACTTTATCCTTGCTAGCACCAGATCTATTCTACTTACAACCCAAGTTGTGCTTCTTTCCCGTAAACACATGATACACTGCTTGACTCCCTGCTTGCCATTGTTCATATTGGTTATTAACCATTTTCCACCTTTTATCTGTTCTATGAACATTTTAACCTAACTGCTCAGCTATTTGATGATTATCTTGTTGCAGCTGTTTGTCAAATTCTTTTATCCATTAATCTGTGAGACCCTTCAACTGCTGTTCATCTGATACAAAAACATTTAACTACCAATGCTGATAGAGTCATATCACCCGTCATGTCATGGTCTTAAAAGGAACGTAATCGTGGTGGGCTGTGGTCATTTGTGGAGCCATTTAGAGGGGAACACCACATCCTAATTTCTGCCATTCACCTGTACTGACTTCCTGTAAGCTTCCTTTAGAAACCAAGTTATCCCTGTCCTGAGATTTGTGGGTATTCTGCTGTATAGCTACAGCTTAACACCTAGCAGGGCACATAGCTTGTTCAGTAAAATGAAATCCTTCACCCTTGTTTGCTCATATTGCCGGGCTGTGCACCTGACAATGCCACTTGTACTGGGTGAGGTGAGAGCTGCTCCACTACATCCTGTTCTTCATACAGTGACTGTGAAAGCCTTGCCCTATGAGAACTTGAATCCCCTGTAAAACATGTTTCTGTTTTATGCAGATGTATTTCGACAGAGGCAGTTAAACCTGCATAAGCAACTGTACATCAGGAGGCTGCAATAGCTAATACTCCTGCTTGGCACCCTTAACCATTAAGGTATAGAGGCACTCATGTCACATGCCCTTTTCCAGGTCTAATGCCAGAGACATTAACGTGAGGGTCCATTTTGCCAGCCTAGAGCCAGGTATTTGCCACCTTGTGCTTTATCAGACACAACATATTTCAAGGAAGCGTGTCTGGTGTGTGTGTTGTGCCATTGGCATTCTTCCAACAATATAATCTGATTTTTCTGATTACCAGAAATTTGCTTGTTCCTTTTGACAAGGAGCTGTGGCATTGATAAGATTTGAGATGAATGGACAATAGCCAATAACATGGTATCTCTCTTTCATGCCAAATTGACACTTCCTTCCTGGCTAACAGAAGCAAACCACTCAGTTTTCTGAGTCCAGATATCCCATCACTGCAGCTTGGGCTGGCTTCAGCTCAACCAAGCTGCCTGTTTTTCTGTACCCTGCTCCCACTGCCTAGTTTTCTCCAAAAGCTTAGCTGGAGGACGACTCACTTCAGTGAACATCAGAATAAAATTCTGCATACAATTAAATGTGCCTTACAGTGCTCTTAGCTAGACTGAGCAATGGGTTCGGGTAACTCCTGAATTAATTCCACATTCAGTTTACCAAGAATCTGGCCTTCAATACCTAGTATTGCTCCTAAATATTTTACCTCTTGTTGTACTAACTGAACTTTTTGTGTATTGACTTTCAATCCTTCCTGTTGGATTGCAGCCAAAACTTCCTGTTTGCTGACACAGTTGTTTCTCAGAATCCCCCAGATTTGGCCATGATCCATATATGATGAGACATGTTTCCTGGATGTGCAGGCTAATTTCTCCCACATTTGAATGATGCACAGATGAAAGATCACAGGACCTTGTGAATACTTGAAGAACTCATGTGGAACTATTTTGTTTCTCCTAAAATGTAAAAACAAGCATTTACCAACACTTCTTTTCCAGGGGGCTGAAGAAGAATGCATTTGCTAGATCTATGACTGAAAACCACTTATCTCCTTGTACTATTACAGCCATAATTTCTGGCATTTCAACAAGAAGAGGTGATGTTTGCGGAGTTACAGCATTTAATGCTCTGAAATCCACAGTCAGATGCATCTTTTTATCTCCCTTTAATACCAGCCACACAGGGGAATTACACACAGTGGGTCATTGCATTGGCACTCCTTGATCCACCAGGCTATTAATAGTGGACAACAATCCTTCCTGGGCTTCGCTTGGGTACGCACATCATTTCTCTGGTCTTGGATCAAACCCTGTTATTAAAGAAAAGGCATTAATCTTTCCATATTCCAATTTATCTCAAGCTTATACTTACAAAACAAGGTAACTCACCCTCATCCTGAGGTGTTCAGACTATTTCAGTATCCTTTATAGGAACACATCTTCATACAAGTAAGATAAGTATGAGTCCTTAGACTTCCACATTATCCTTCCACAGTCAGATCTAAACCTATTTTGTTTAAGGAATGTGCTGCCAAAAAAACACATTTTTTTTTCCCTGCTCATGATGCTGAATACAAGAAAAATCAACCTCATTCTCCAGTAAGCAGTTTGCACTGGGTGTGGGTGTAGGAGCAGAGCTTATACGCTCCCTCTGCCACAGAAAACCACTATACACTTCTGCCTTTATGGTGTACCTTGTAGGCACCCACGCTCTTGCAAAATAGTAATTTCAATAGTTGCTGAGGCACCAGAATCTAATAAGAGTTTGGTCTCTCAGTATCTTGTTTTTCATTGCTGTTGTACTGTTCTGCCAATTTATGCATTAAGACACTAATGGATTTTATACTCCACCTAGCTATATCTTCTCCCAGGCTCTCTAGTTCCTTCCAAAGACTGTTTCACATCTGCTTCAAATGCCATTTCCAAGAATCATACAGTCCAGAGAAAAACTCCTCTTACTTCCCACAGGCAGTGTCCCACATGCTGCAGAAGCACAAAGGTCCCTCTCATCCTCAAGAGCTTTGGGTTAGTTTGCCCTCAAGACCCTGATTAGTGAAAGGGATTATTAATGGTAGAAGTTACTTTGACTAGATTTATTTCTAGTTCCTTTTCTTTCCAGAGAATCCATCCAGCCCTCCCAGCACGTCCCCTTTCATCCCCAAACCCTCAATTTTGTTAGTGGAGTTCATAGGTCCCATAGCTGTACCTAACCTCTACCACTGCGATCTGAATCCCAGTTCATTATCAACAGGGCCCCAGTCTCCCCCAGCAATAATTCAGCATCTATCTCAGGAGCTGTTTTCTAGCAATACACGACTCCAGTCCTTCATCTTTTTTCATCCTTTTTTTTTTTTTTTTTTTTTTCTTCCAAATGAAGCAGCTTAGACAACAATTCAGTTACAAAATCTCATCAGAATCACTGTAGCCTGTTCTCTTCCCTGCTGCAGGCTCTTGAAGTTCAGCATCACACAACCGTCAGTGGGCACCCAGACTGCCTTAGCCATGGAGTCATTATCAGAATTGGTCTAACTGGGCTATGCTCCTAAGTCCACAAACCATTTCCACACAAATATCCCTATTAAAGGCCCCACTTTGATAGCAAAAGCTCAGCCTTGAGTAGCAACCAACTCCATTTCAGCAGTGACTCTTTCAGTGTTCTCTCTCTCATGCTGGTCCCCATCTCCCTGAATTAACAGTATTCTTTACCATGATGACATCCCCCGGTGATGGTGACCAGGCACTATTATATTCTCAGATATAGTTCAGTTTCAAAGGAAAACACTCCCAATCTGTAAGACCAAGCCATTTTTTTTTTCCTAGGGTTAGTTCTACAAACATAGTGGGTATGTGACTTGACTGATTTTTATTTCTGCATAATCTGTGAAATTTTCCTACTTTTCCTACTTTCCACAGTTTCAAAACCCACTTGCTTCAGATCTACCAAGTTACTTTGGGCTAGCAAAAGACACATTGTGTAGCTAAATCTCTCACAGTAAGCAGTGCTGTAGCCAGTGTCATTCTCTGTATCATCGTCTCCCTTTTCATAAATGACCTCCTAGTCTGGCTTATATTACCCTTCCTTGTTTATCCAAACTGCAAACCTTCAAATATGTGCTGCTGAACATACAAGGCATGCTCTTCCTCTCCTTCCACGGCATAGCGCAAGGACCATGTTTCCTTTCCTCATCTGTCAGGTAGGGTCTGCTGGCTGAAAGACCATGTGAGGCTGCCTGTGAAGGCTTGCCTGCCCCACAGTGTTCCTACTGCAGCTTGGGGTTCCCTGGTGGCACAGGTTCCTTGGCAGATCTGCATGTGGAAGTTGTGAGCTGCCATGCTAAACTGTGGCAGCAATGCTGCTTGTACAGTGAAGGACCCTATGATTTGTGGTGCTATAAAAGCTGAAAAACTCCATCATTGCCTTTTATATATAATTGAAAACACAGTAATTGACTGCAGTGTCAACTAAAGAAAGCAGGCAGCACCCTTGGAACTACACACACACGTGCGCATGCACATGTGCACACACAGCCTTCTACTGCCAGCCAGGCAGTGCTGCGTGACTTGTCTTAATAGAAGGCTTAAAATAAATCAGAATTATTTCCAGATTAGAAGGAAAAAAAAAAATCCTTGTGAAGATGTTTCAGTATAAGCGCAAAGAACACAAAACGAGCAGTCTCTTTGCCAGGCAGCACAGCATTTTCTCTCTCCTGGTCCTTTGCTCTCTGCCCTCCTGCTCCCACAACCTGGCTTAACCTTTTTTTCTGTATGATGCAGCTGAACATGTGACATTGCAAAGCTGCTGCATCCATGCCAGTGTACCTGTAAAAAAGTTATGTGTCTCCTAGACTTCCCCTATTCATTTTCTTGAGACAAGTCTCAGAAAAGCTCCCCAAACCAATGTTGTAACACTCTGCTGAAATAACACTCAGCAGCTTAAAACACCCATTTACAGCCATAGCATCTGAGAAGGCCAGATCATAAACTCTTTTCCTCCTGGTATCACCTCATCAAGCCCTCATCCTAGACAGCCTGTGACCCACAACCACAGTAATCTGTCAGAATTCACAACAGGGATCTGGTATACACAGGAGTGTTCATCTCTTTGCCAGCTTTAGGGCCCCAAATGCACCATCTGATGGGAGTGGTGCTTCCACCTCTGTTTGATGCACGCTGCTGGCTTTTCACAGTGATATGAAAAGCTTTTTCTCTTCTCCAATGAGAATTTCTCTTCTCCAATAAGAGGCCACTGCAGGCAATTCACTAATTTCAGTGTTGAAACACATTGGGATCTTGCTTGATTTCCTCAGTGCCTTCTCTGGGGGACAAAGCCTGGCAGACATGCTGGATGGTAGTATCTACCCCAAGTAAGTGAGTAAGGGGGCACTGAAGGAGATGGGAAGGAGGAAGGAAGAGGGACAAAGGCTGAAAGCACAGCCAAAAAAAATAAAACCATCCTACCAACCTGCCTCTCCCCACCTCACTTCAGCTATTTAAATAGGGAGAAATTTTCATTTTTGACTGCTCATGTGTGCCATTTTGTTTACCTTGGGTGCTTTCTGCTGAAATTATAGAAACAGGCCAGTTTACTTCACTCTCATTTTTAGACAGTTTCGCTTTCAGCTTCTTCTGCACAAACAACATGCTACAATTCGGGGGTTGCAAAGACTGCAGGGAAATATTGATTTCCTCACAATAACACTAAAACAGTTCGACCCAACATTTTCTGAAGGCTTTTACAAAACATACATTTTGAGGGACAAGTTTGCCTTGACAGAGTTCTTTTAAAGTGAACTGCCTTTCTTGCAGCTGCAGTAGAGCTGTTATTTACTACTTTTTATTACAGAAAAAGAATTGTTGATGCTGGAATTTTCTTTTATTCTGGTAAATAGCTTTAAAATTTTAGATTACCTGGTTATGTGAAAAGCTGCACTGTAATGCAAGGAAAATTGTAATTATTCAGCTAATTAAAAAGTCTTAATTATAATATAGAATAATTAATTTCTTTTGATACTTACAATTCAGACACTCCCTTGTATACCTCAGGGGTCCAGAAGTCTTAGCGAACATAACAATGGGATTTGCTTCTTAGAAAAGCAAGCTTTCTCTAAGGCTTTTCTTAGCTTGGTAATAGTCCTGTATATGAGAATAGGGACTGATGGCCAATATTATAGCTGGAGATTCCTGAGGCATCAGCTCTCAAACGCAGAAGGTCATATGCCATCTCCACTATCAAAAGCATTCCAAAAAAAGACACCAAAGTATTGTGAACTGCGTAACTACTGGTGCACTACTGCACTATGAGAACTGCAGCCCATCTCATCTTGCCATCACAGCCCCACTTGCAGCCCCCTGCTGGGTAGCACTGGACTAGGAACTCCAGAGGCAGTCTTTCTTTGAATTCCTCTGTCCCACGGTCTCATCACAGACTTCCAGTCTGCTCCTGCCTATTCAAACTCCTCTGTGTCATCCAGCCAACTGACACTCTAGGAGCAGTGCTGCTCCTCTACCAGCTTTAATATACCTTCTGGCAGAGCTGCATTCACGTGGGCACCGGGGATCACAGCATACTCCTGCAGAGATGAGTAGCTATGAATACACGAGGTCAGGAGATGCCAAGATGGGAAGAAGGCTTATGATTCCATTTGCAGCCATTGAAGTGACACTTTTCCTCATTTTATTCAATTTGTCCCAACTACAGAGCCTAAATCAGTTTAATAACAGGAAGTACATTTTAGCTTTTATCCTCCCCATCCCATTTTGCCCAGTGAGCTGGGTGGAGCTAACATTCTGGGGGTTGGCTGTTCTTAGCTAGGAAAACAGTTCAGCTATGAGGGGCATTGGATTTATTTGCACCCTAGTACCTAACATCCAAAAGCATATGGAGTTGCAATTAGAGGAAAAAAGCTGACTGACACTCTAAAAACAAGTTGGAAATATTAAACATACTCTGATGTTACAAAGCTTGATAGAGAAGGGTGGGAGAAGGCATTGCAGAGGCTCTGGGTCTACCATGAAAGGAGTTGTTTTTTTTTTAGGACACTTGCATTTTTCCAAAGATAGTCAATAAGAAGGACTTGTTTTAGTGAAGGCCTCCTAAGAATTGCTCTGTGAGATTAGTATCAGCTAACATAGTACTCTAGCATTCCATACACTCTTGATCTCATGTGTTCTC